CATACTGCGAAGGGTGAAAAAACAACGGCACAGAGTCAGAAATGGCCTGATCAGACCATCCCGACACCACAAGAGTGTGCTGGAGTGATCAGACACGGGAAAGTCTGTCCTTGGCCCGTCGCAACCCACTTACTACTGGATTTTCCCCGGTGTCCCCGCCACCATAGTTACCATCAATCCAGAATATCGGACTGGCCCACTCTGAGCCTCACCGGCAAATATCTGGACAGTGGGAATGATCTTAAGACCTGAAGACAGAAGGAATGCAGATACAAGCCATTCATCTTAAGGTTACTTTGATGTAGCGAGCACTTTATTGTTAAGATTATTTTTAAGGGATTTTAATATTTTTATTGTTTTATTCATATCGGCCTGTTGCCCGTCTTCTGTAAGCCGCCCAGAGCCTGTTTACAGGGTGGGCAGGGTATAAATGTAAATATAAATAAAAAAATAAATAAACTCTGCTTCTGCAGTGGAGCAGAATGGGTTGGCGATGACTGCCGGGCACTTCCCAGATGTTGTCTGATTTAAATCTGCCCAGCATTCACACCTATGTCGGGTCTAGTTGTGCGTATGATCACAGCTTACAATATAGTTTGTGTTCTTTCTTTTTTAAGGGAAGATTTTGTTTTAAAAAGTCTCAATTAAAAACTGACCTCCTTTAAAAACACACACACACTCAGAGAGATATTAGGGTGATAAAAAGGTAAGCGGCATTAACACACTAGAGAAGTCACATATTGCACCAAATGGCTTTTATCTACACTTCTGAATGCATTATTCACAATTGCCCAATCCTATTGTTTTATGGATGCACACATAATTTACATAGATAATAAAATGTCTCTGATGCTTGCCATACTTTTATTCAAAGATTATATTTTGCTTTAAGGATGCTGCACATATTGACTCTGAAGGATATTTAAATGCTCCCTAGACTTTCACCAGCAGGGTAGAACAACAGAATACAACTCTTCTTGCCACCTGTCAACAACAGGATATCCTTTCACATTCAAGTACATCCTGCAATCAGGTGCCATTTATCACAGCAGCTTTTTTTAAGTGCATTAGTCATCAACATGCCCATGCTGGCACAGACTCTACAGCACTTTTATTCCTGCACAGCATTAGTTTTCCTTGGAGTTCAGCAGCTTTTTGTTCTCTTAATTTATTTATTCACTGAAATTGGGTTTTTTTAAACTGGACAGTACATCATTCTATTGTTCATTTATTCCTTCCATTTGTATCTCACTTTTCATCCAAAACTGAACAGAAGGTGGCTCACTAGAATTTTTAAAAAATACAAATGACATTAAAATCTATCACAAATGTTCCCCAGGGAAGGTATTTTCAGCTGAGCTTAATCTTTATCATCTCACCCCTCTCTACAAGGTTTCCTTATGCCCACATGGGACACTTCTCTATCTTCAGTTGTTTGTTGCATGCCATGCTTTCTAAAGAATTTGTTCCTTATCAACAACAGAAGGACAGTGAAGTAAAAGAAGAGCATACTATAAGTCAAAGAACTAACTGCATCCTGAGAAAGGCCAAACAAACCCAGGGTGCTTCTTACACAACACTGTGCACTCAGATTCTGCTACTGCCATACAAAATACACACAACTATTTAAGATACGAAGAGTGCTCACAGGTATACATCACAATATTTCCTTTAACACATACACACACAAAAGAGACAGCTTTTGCCTTGTATGTATTTTAAGGGTAAATAAATTCAATATTCTATACAGAAAAGAACATTTTCCATCTCTTAAGTGGTTTTTATGTATTTGCTGTATGCTTTATATATTTAGAAGGACATATCACAATGAATAAAAAGGTTCAACAAAGTGTCTTGAATGACAGTAGAAGAGTCTCCTGTGTTAGACAATAGCAGAATCATCAGGACTGGTTAAAGAGCTTGTATATTCAGCACATGTGCAATCACACAAAACAGGGAAAGGATTTGATTTGATAAAGGAATGCCAATGCACATTAAAAAAAAATCAGACTGATTGTGAAGGGTGAAAAAAGGTAGCATGTCAGACACAAACACTATGCACACAAGTGCAGTTATTGCACAACCAACTCTGAAAGATACCAGAAGCATCATCTTCTAAATTACATAGGCTATTCCAAGTGTAATAGTGAAATTATAGGAAATATGCACTTAAGAGGTAGGGTACTATGAGCATTAATTAAGATTTAATTAAAAGGGATTTAACAAGTACTATAAATATTGCACAAGACTTGACACCTTCAGTGGAGCAGGGTGGCATTCTGAGCCCTGACCTGGATAGCCCAGGCAAGCGTGATCTTGTCAGATCTGAGAAACTAAGCAGGGACGACCCTGGCAAGTGTTTGGATGAGGGACCTCAAAAGAATACCAGGGCCGGGAGGCAGAGGCAGGCTATCAAGTCACTTCTCTGAACGTCCTCCATGCCCCAGTAGGAGCTGCCAGAAGCTGCTATGACTTCCAGGCACAGACACACACACACAGATGAAAGAATACCAAAAAAGAAAAAAAAAAGAATTTTCTGAAATGACAACACTGCACAACACTAACTGGTTGTAGGATGGACAAGTTATACAACATGCAGAGGATAGATGGTAGGAATTCTCCATGGAACTCAAGTCAATGTACTGGAAAACTTACCTATGGGACGGTGAGGAAACCTACCTATGGGAAAGTGAGGAGGGTCAGTGGTGGAAAGTGGTGTGTGTTGGGGGGGTAGATGTTCAGTAAAGTGGAGGAAAAGAAAAACATGTGACAGATCAGTACATTAGTGTGGAACTGTTTAATCAGAAAATAATTTGAAGAGAGATGCCATTCAGTTAAATACAACACCAAATAAAATGGTGCAGCAGTTGAGGGGAATAAAGTATAGGAGTTTCCCTCTTTTAATGTATCAAGCTACCAAACTAATAACATAAAAGCAGAAGAGGCCACCCACAGGGGATGGGACCACATATAATCCAAGTTTGTCTAAAAGAAAAAGTTCCTTTAGTAAGAGAGATTCCCTGAAAGGAGGAGGTTAAGATGTGTAGGAAGGTGTCTTTCTAACAAAAGCTAGTCATGGTTAGCAGCAGCTCTCACTTAAAAAACAAACCTTTCTGTGGACAGATGTTATTTTAGGCCTTTATTGGAACCTTCATAGAGATGTGTTGCAGAAAGAAGAGAAGATTCTTGGACTGAGGACTAATGGGGTCCCATGCAGTGGCTGACAGAAGTTGCACAAAGTGCTCCCCCCCCTGAGATGTATTTTAAGATGTGTAGGAAGGTGTCTTTCTAGCAAAAGCTAGTCATGGTTAGCAGTAGCTCTCACTTAAAAAAAAACCTTTCTGTGGACAGATGTTATTTTATTGGCCTTTATTGGAACCTTCATAGAGATGTGTTGCAGAAAGAAGGGAAGATTCTTGGTCTGAGGACTAATGGGGTCCCATGCAGTGGCTGACAGAAGTTGCACAAAGTGCTCCCCCCCCTGAGATGTATATAGCAAGATCTTTTAGCAGATTATGCTAATGCTATTTGTGTACGGCATTTTGTGTGTGGGGAGGACCAACTAGCAGGAAACTCTCACCAGATGCTTCTGCTGTGATGTCAGGGGAGTTACAGAGAGCAATCTCTCAAATTTATTATGAAGAAGTTGCTCATCAGCTGAAGCAGGGAGGGGGAGAGTCTGTGGGAGAGCAATGGAACTAAATCTCTTACCTAATGAAATCGGTGGAATAGCTGACTAGGATGACATATGCAAAAAGATCACACAACCCCTCTACCATTAATGGCTGCACAAAAGGAGGGAACTTTGAGAAGGTGCAATTTTATATGTTGGGATGAGAAACATTATGCTTGCCAAAGTTTACTTCTCTAAACTACTAGAAAAGGAGCAAGAGTTTTATCCCTGTATCTGGTTTAACCGAGGAACAAACATCTCTCTAGGAAAGTGCAAAAGGGGTCACTTATCAAATGGCCATTTGGGGCAGATGTGATGGATTGCATATATCTTGGGTATATTAACTGACGCAGATCTCCTACCATGTGAAGACTGATTACACAGTGGCTGAAGATAGCATTATATGGTCTTCTCTGGTCACACATAAGGAGTGAAATCATTGGTATTCCAAGGGAAACCCCACCAGTGTGAAAGCACTATACGGGGGAGGGGGGATTTTGTCATATCAAATCAAACTTTATACACACACATAATCTAGGTTATGTAGATTATACAGAATGTATACCAAGAGCATAAAAAGGTGAAGTACATACACAGCATGTGCAGAAGCATTGTTTTTCAGCTGCAGTCAGTGAAGTTGACATATTGGGGGTGGGAGGGTAGAGAGAGTGGTATGGATAAGAGGAACAATGCAAAAAAAACTCTCTTTCTAAAACAGCATGGGTGTCGTTCATGCTACTAAACGGGTATGTTTCAATGGACAACACTAAAAGGATCCCTGCGGTGAAGTCGGCCTCTGGTTGGGATACTCCTACTCAGGGCGTGTGCCTCGCTGAATATGCCTCATGAACCATTACACACAAGAAGGTGTCTCTGTCTGTAGGAGGAAGCTATGGTATAGACGGAGGGGAGGAAGCAGAGCTCTGCTGGAAAAGAGCGTGCAGGAGT